CTCTTAAGTTCAGTGTTAATAACTCTACCTTCACTCAAATCCAAGAGCTACGGAAACACAAGCCAAGATGATTTGTTTAAAAACAAAACTGAAGGAATTTCAGTTAAATCCATACTGTCTTCTCTGTGAAAATACGGTTTTAATTATCCCTCATGGTGCTTAATTGTTTTTTTGTCACATGGTTGAAGAGTTTCTCACTCAGAAGACAGTATTTTAAGGGGTTTTTATTGAGTGTAAAATTTATTCCAATTGCATTTCTATTGATGCAGTACTGTTAGATCCTTTATATCACCCCTCATATCCCTCTACAAATATCAAAGAACTTTCTATTTGAATAAAAATGGCAGTTAACTGGTTATTCATAATGAGTCTCTCTGATCTGTTTAAAGTACAAAATATTTACATTTGTGACATGCAGCAGGTGGTGTGATAAACATAAGCACTTTTGTGACATTAAGCAATGAAATGAGCACTCAACTCTCACACCAACACATTAACACCACTAACTAATTTGTTTGAATAAGTTTTTGGCTTTATAATTTTTAGTTATTTGTCTTCCCTATGCAAGGCAACAAAGAACTAGGCATTCAATTCCATGGAATAACTGAAAAACGCAACACAAAGCATTCAGGGTTTATTTTATCCCTGCAAGCCAGCATCATCAACATAGATTTCTAGACCAGGGAAGCCACCTGCTGACATTCATAGGCATTAATCCACAGTGTTTATCCTTACCAGCTCTGTATGTGAAGAATCTGGAACTATCCTCAATTATGGGTTGTCATGTCCCAAAACTAAGTTAAAACGTACAAACCAGTTTTATAAATCTATCTTTATAGGCTGCATTTGAATAGGTACAACACACCAAAACTCCTGGGGGTTTTGGGGTGGTGGTGATGTTTTAAATCCAAAAAGCTTGTTCCTGAAGCCATTAATGATTTCTGAAAATCTTACTCATCTCCCCCCAGAATGCCTGCCATTATAAACTGCTCTGTCTTCATGCTTTTGTTAGTCAACAATACAATTTTAGATAACTGTCATTAGAAGTTGGATGGTCGCACTCAAATTGCTGCAGTCAATGGCTCGATGTCCATGTGGAGACCAGTGATGAGTAGCGTTCCTCAGTGGCGCTGTTTAATATCTTTGTCAGCAACATGGACAGTGGGATTGAGTACACCGATGACACCGAGCTGTGTGGTATGGTCAACAGGCTGGAGGGAGGGGATGCCATCCAGAGGGACTTTGACAGGCTTGAGAGGTCAGCCTGTACGAACCTCAACAAAGTCAATTGCAAGCTCCGTCACATGGGTCAGGGCAATCCCAAGCACAAATACAGGCTGGGCAAAGAATGGATTGAGGGCAGCCCTGCCAAGAAGGACTTCAGAGCACTGGTTGATGAGAACCTCAACATGAGCCAGCAATGTGCGCTGGCAGCCCAGGCCAACCATATCCTGGGCTGCATCAAAAGCAGCATGGCCAGCAGGTTGAGGGAGGTGATTCTGCCCCTCTACCCTGCTCTGGTGAGACCCCACCTGGAGTCCTGCATCCAGCTCTGAAGCCCTCAGCACAGGAAAGATCTGTTGGAATGGGTCCAGAGGAGGGCCACAAAAATGATCAGAGGGATGGAACAGCTCTCCTCCAAGGAAAGGCTGAGAGAGTTGGGGCCGTTCAGCCTGGAGAAGAGAAGGCTGTGGGGAGACCATATAGCAGCCTTCCAGTGCCTAAAAGGGGGCCTGCAAGAGAGCTGGAGAGGGACTTTTTACAAGGGCATGTAGGGATAGGACAAGGGGTAATGGCTTTAAACTGAAAGAGGGTAGATTTAGACTAGATATAAGGAAGAAATTCTTTACTATGAGGGTGGTGAGACACTGGAATAGGTTGTCCCAGAGAAGTTGTGGCTGCCCCCTCCCTGGCAGTGTTGAAGTCTAGGTTGGATGGGGCTTTGAGCAACCTGGTCTAATGGAAGCTGTCTCTGCCCATGGCAGGGGGGTGGGAACTAGATGATCTCTGAAGGTTCCTTCCAAGCCAAACCGTTCTATAATTCTATGAAGTCTTCCATGTTAAGAGTACAATAGGCATAGATAAAGAAAATATGAGTAGTTGTAATCCAAAATTGTGATATAACAGTACCCGAACAAAGTAATTCTTGATTTTAACTTCAGCTAAAACAAAACACAAGAAACTCAACGTGCATGAAGTTTTGAAGAAAACAAACGCATAGCACAATAGCACAGCAGAGGAATACAGTGTACAGCATGATTTATATTAAAGTAACTACAAATGACAAATTGAAATAACCATGGAAATAAATAATGTTAATACTTATGCCTGGTCATATTTCCTGAAGATATTTTTGTCTGGCTCTTAATGTTTACTATCCCATAGTGAACTCCTAATGCCCACTGACATGCATTCACTGTAGCAAATGAGTTCTAATTGTAGTGTTCACTGTAATGTACACTATAGTGAATGAGTTACAACAGAAGTACTCTAAATTAATTCAGACAATGTCAAGAAATTACATTCAGCAAACATCAAAGATGTTCTTAAAGAGGTATTAGATTTCAAACTCTATTCTATGAAAAAAACTAACAGAGACAGCTAAGTAATGAATTTAACAGATTATACTTACAACAGACTCCCAGAACACCAGCAATATGATCTGAAACCTCATATTGGAACTATTCAGTACAAAGTTGCATAAAACTTGCAATGACTATAATTTAAAGGTTTTTTTTTCCCTTTTGTAGATATAAAAAGTCTAGAAATTCAGTGTCACACTTCTGGAAACATTAGTCCATTAAACCAGCTACAAAATGGCATTTCTTTTGCACTTGTATTTTAAACAAACTTTCTTTTAAGATTTACATAAACATAAGAAAATTCTTCATAATACTATGATTCAATAAAAACTTTTTTTTAAATATTTGTGCTATTTCTCTCATACTCTTTTTGCTTTGGGCAAAGGAAAAAAACAAAAATTTTCTGACTTAATTACAAACATTAGCAAAATGTTGTCAAACATTAGCAAAATGTTGCGATGTTTATGCTTCAGCCATTGGAAACAAGTGTTTATTAAAATTTTTATAATGTTTCGTTGTTTTTAAAAAGCTTCAGCAACATACTGTGGCTAGTACTAGGCAAGTTTTGCAACTTAATTCTTTACAAAAATTTAGACACAGTCTAATTTTGTTCACAACAACATCCTCTTAAAATCGCTTCACTGAGAATTTCCTAGGGATCTCCAACATTGGCTTTACAAATTTTGCATGTATGTATGCATACAAACAATGGAAAATAGATCTTAAATAGACATAGTCACAAACATTTAATATGTATTAACAGACAATGAAGTAAAACCTCTCAGTGCAACAGTCTGGTTGTCAGACTGTCTGGTTCTCTATATGCATTCACACAGTCAAACTGCAACTGGAAACCTTTAAAATTGTTTTTAAAAGCATTCATGACATGAAAGAAATTATGTGCTGCTATTTTACTGATATCTGAGTCAAATTGTATTATCGTCTAGCTGAAATGGATGGACGAAAGAAGCTATCTCAAAACACTGAACAGGAATTTTCTCCAGCTACAGCTTAGCTTTTGCTGCTGTTAAACACCTCACAGAGCATGCTTTGCAAGCAAAGACCATGCAGAACCATTCAAAAATATCACCTTTGACTGCAAGGCCAGGTTTGAAAAAGGGGAACAATAAAAAACAACTTCATATTGTTTTTTGTTTCTCTTCAGTTACGTTGGGATCTTTTCTTAAGATAAATGAATCAAAACTAGCACTACTGTATAATGCTCCTGTAGTGTTTAATTACACAGGAGTAGAAATCAGTACCAACAAATCTGATGAATCTCCAAGCACCATTTCTGCAGATACCCCTAAGAAAAGCCATTGACTGTAGTCTGTGGATATACGTTTCGCAGCTTTAGTCAGATTTCTGTGGCAGGAAATGAAACTATTCTAGATAGATGTTTTAGCCTAAAAAGTAGACTATCTTACTATGTTTTTATAGGACATGGATCTAGAGTGAAGTCGGTTTATACAGTCCACATAATACTTAGTTATCAGTTATACAAATAATACATATGTACGTATTTAGGAAAAGCAGGGAACAAATACTTAAGAAAAATAACAAGCAGTAAGATGGAGGCAAGAAGTCAAATAATTTTAACCCAGAGAAGATCACTGGTCCAGGGAGACTAATATTCCATCTTCAGGATGTTTAAATGGCTGAACAGCCTAATAATTGCACCTGCTCAGAACTGTTACATGAAAGAGGATTAAAATCTGTGATCAATCTTTTTGAAATTCCAGTTACCTCAGACATCTTTGAGTGCTTTAGGACTTCCCATTCTCAAAACAATTCAGTACTCATTTTAATTGTAGGACTTGCTACTTACTGATAAAAAGAACTACTATTTATTTTCCTGATAAGTTTTATATTTACTTAGAAAAAACTTTTACAAGGGAAAAACATCTAAAAAAGATTCAGTGCTGACCCAATCCTATCTTTTTTTTTTTTAACATCCAAACTGAGCTCAAATAGTACGTTAATAAACTTAGCTTTACCTGAACGTAGAAGATAATATTACATAAATCTTTATACTGCAGAAATATCCACTGGGGATGACCCACTATAAACCAAACAAAAACCCCTACCCCATTTAGTAACTCCTCCAAAAAGGATAGGCATCTGTTCACATTACATCAGCAGCTTTGCATCTAGAACAGTTTGAGCTGGCTTACCAACCTCCTTTACGATGTCGGCATGGACTCTTGCCACCACAAATTACCAGAAAGCTGAGTTCCATGGTTATACGTATTTTCTTTGAACACCACTCGCATAACATTTCAAGGAAAGTGAGAGTCAGAGAACTTTTTAAATTGACAGTGCATAGAGAATGCATTTGTTTTTGTACATACAAAGGCACTCAGTGATTCTCCAAGAAAAAGAAAGAGCTTAACAAACTGTATGTCCAGTTAAACTGACCTTTTGGAGTCTTCTAGCTTTTCTTAACCCCTCATTGTGCTTATTCTTTTGTTCATTAAAAACTTTGCAAGAGCCATCAGTAACATCACACTCTGAAACTTCATTTTCATCACCTAGAAACCAAATTCAGAAACTTGAAATGAAAAATGCAATCTTGTGAAATGAAACTGCCACCAATTATTTTATCGTAGCACATAGAGTCATGCACAACTAAGATACCTAAGTTAGTAATTTGTACCAGTTATTTTTCCATCGTATTTCAGTTATGGAAAAAAGAACGACACTCAAGCATCTGACTTCATCTTTCAGTATCTGATCTTGTAAATAAACTAGTTTTAAAACTCCCAATTTCCGATATTTTGAAAACCGTGTATTAACTACAAGTAGAGAATCCGGTAAATTGCTTTCTATTTATTACAAAATTTGCAAACTCTCTGAATACAGTGGTGGCTAGATATTTACGTTCTTACTGAAAAGCCTATGCTTTCAGTACACACCGTTTATCTGAAATGACCTAAAGGTCTGAAATGTGTTTTCAAATACTCTGCACGCAAATCTAGCAAGCTGTTAGCAGGTAAGAATTGTGTGTGCATGCAGGCTTATCAGTCCTATTATTTATAAAAAGGCACCAACCATAACAATGTACTCCAATGTGGCTGCCAAAAAGCAGTATTTTTCATCACATATTTTGTGAATTAACATACATTTAATTCTTCAGCACTGTCAGGATGATTTTTATAAGCACTAAATAATAAACTCTTGAATCATTTGAAAAATTAGCTTGCTTGCATAAGATGAAAAAGTTTGATCTATCTTTTGATTAATGAAGTTTTAACTACTGAAGATGTCAGTAGATCATTTTTCCAAAATTTAATTGAATGGAGTCTACTTTAGGACATTTGTTAATTCTTCATTTCAAAGAAATTCATGAGACCAGTTAAATAAAGTTTAATAATTAGTGATTAAAGTGGCCTAACTTCAGCTCCTCCCAAATAAACTGCTTCTGATAACTGATACTGAAGGCTACTATCCATATTTACTAGTCTCACTGCATATATAACTAAGAATCATTTGTTTTTCCTCTGTCAGCTACTCATATTCTTAATCCTTGAGGTGACAGAACAACCACAAACTGCAACACAAAAAATTATATTTTCCGTTACTGATTACTTATTTTAAAATTATGAACTCATCAATATTTAATCACTTCTTCACACTAAAGTTGCAACTTTCATGTGAATTTACACATCATTACAGTAATTTGTGTAATACAAGTAAACCTGGCTTTCAGTTTAATTTAAACTCCATATTTAAAGTGTCATTTAACAAAAGGAGAACTAATTACTTAACTATGTTAATTTTATTTAGTATTGCACTGAGGCCCACCATCTTCTGTCACTGAGCAAGACTGATGGCCAGCAGGAGAAAAGACCTTGCCACACAATAAAAAAAGAAAAAAGAAATTTAAATTTAACTCCTTTTACATGGAAAACATTATTTTTAAACATGTATTTTGAATCTTCAAAAAAAAAAAACCAAACCAAGAAGCACAGGACTGCAAAGGATGTCAGGAGATCATCCACTCCATTGCTTTACCCCAGACAGATGGGGGTAAAACAAGGTATGTCTCTGTTAATTCCCAGTAAGTTATTTCAGTCACTGTAAAAGGACTATCCACCATTTCGGGTTTTCTGGAAGGGTGGGTTGGAGATGGGAGCGAGAAGTGGTGTAATATTCTTTTTGCCACTCTTCACCTGAACACTCAAGCTCCACAGCTTGGACCTCTTTCCAGTTACAGTTCTCTCTTGTTGGTTCTTCGTATTTACAGGAAAACAGGAACAGGGGAGGGGGTCCATCACTTCCTCTGATTATCAGCTTGAGAATCTTATGCATTACATAAATAAGAACTATTCTTTGCAATCCAGTTCCTACCGCTTCTCTCCCAACTCTCAGGACTTCTCAAGCACTTTCCAGCCTTTCCATCCTACAGGTCTCAAGCTTCACTGTCTGTTGTCTGGTTCTCCCTGACTGCTTCTTTTTAAAGCAGTTGCTCAGTCACAAGTAAGGAGTTTTCATCTTTTGTAGGTTTTCCTAGGGTATTTCAGATAAGGTCCACAGAACTTTTTGAAGCAATTCCATCCACTGTTATTTATCCCCAAATTTAGTTCAAATACACAGCTCACTCATACCACTGTGGTCCATTATATTCCTTGAATTCTCTTCTAAAACATTGCTCAATGACTGGTATCAAAATTAGCAGTTTTGATAGCCCTCTGTAGTATTAGAACAAATTAGAGTGACTTTAATTTGCAGTGTAAGCTTCTACTCATTCATGATCATTTATCACCAGTGAGAAGTTCTGAACCAGAATATTATCTTCAAAATTCCATTTGATATTTACTTCAAGTTAAAGGTACAACTAGCTAGTTTTTGGTCAATCATGTCTAGCTAATAAAAAATTTATCTATAGTGTTCTACTTTAATAATATCATAATGAAGCGTCATTGAAATTCAGCTGTATCATATCTACTATTTTGTACTTATCCACAGGGTTATTTACCCAAACTGTGAAGAAATTAAATCTGAATTTGGCATCATTGGTAATCCTTCAGGTACATATGCACAGAATATTTAATAACTTGTGCTATTATTGTAGTTACTATTCCAGCCTGGGCAAATATCAAGTTTTTGCTATTCAGAACACAATTTCTTCATTCTTCTGAAAGCTTATGTACCCACCAGGCAGGCCCACCAGAGAGCACCTGTTAATGGCTTAAAACAATTTTATCTAGTTTTTTATGTGCTCTAGGACAAGTGTCATCAGGCTTTGCAAATCTGACTGCATCAAAATAATCCTCAACTTCTTCCTCTATTCAGAAATATTTGTCCTTTTTTTAGTTTTAATAATTAGTTACAATTAAACTATTTGTAAAGATAAACAAAATAAGGAATGAAGCAAGAAAGTTTTCTTCCTCATCCCTTATTTATTTTTTAAAAGGACATAATAAAATGTCAAGAGAGGACATCCTACAATATTATTAGTCAGCTTGTCTTCTTCCAAAGCTGAAGAAAAAGAAAAAAGGCACATCAAATCTAAGGAAGTTTTCACATTTGTGTTTTTAGATATAAACAGTATTACAGAATCACAGAATCACAGAATAGTAGGGGTTGGAAGGGACCTCTGTGGGTCATCTAGTCCAGCCCTCCTGCCGAAGCAGGGTCACCTACAGCAGGCTGCACAGGATTCTAGCAGCATTAAGTACCTAGCACCTAGAACCTCACGTAAAACTTATTCATCTAGATTAAACATTTTTGCACCAAATAACAGAGTGATACTCCAGATTCCCCATCTTACAATTGAACTACATTAATTATAATATAATAGGTCTTAGTTTATGTGTTTTGGCCAACCAAGATAATATTTGCTTCCCACATTCACCATAAATATCTAAAATTCACTCAGCTAAGCCTTAAGTTTATTTTTAAGACTGGAAAGAATGCTAAGTCACAGTTCAAACTTCTCAATGATTTTAGGACAATAAAAGCTTAAAAACACATGCTCTTGCATTCCTTGCCCAATGTTATTTATTGTTGTAGCTTTCAGATGAAAAGTCAGGAATTCATCAAATCTGAGCAAGTACTGGCATTCTAAATCATGTTGTTCAATTGCCAACTTACCCTACCATCAGCCCTACTAAAAAGTTATAAGCAGATGGACTGGATTTCAAAGTAAAGCAATTTACAACATGAATTGCAAGTTCTTAGACTCTCCTAGTAGCACGGATAATTAACTTTCACAAAAAACAGTCTTGCTGCGTTTCCACAAACTTACACTCATGACAGAGAAAAGCCATCATTTTCCTCACTTTGCTAAAAATTTAGGCACTGACACGCAAAACCCAGTTACACAGCATTTATTGATTACAGAGCACTGAAATTTATCAGGTATGACTGGTTTAATAAGAAGGACAAAAAATTTATTTCACTTCCAGAAACAAAGCTGAGAAAGAAAAAGTGAATCTGAATAGGAAAGCATCTTTTAATATTCTTATAACACCTTATTAATTTCAACTCTTGTATCTGTGACAGTTCTCTGCTTGACTTACGGCTTGGAGTAAGATGGAAATAAATAGCCATGTTTATGCCTGTGCTGTTCAGCAGAACAACTGGACAGCCTTGAGTGTACCCTACAACAGAACCTGAAGTTCCTGCAACATATGCATTGGGACTTGAAAAGTTAATTTCAGATCAGCGCGTAAAAATCAAATGTTCCAAGTAGTCTGTGGAAAGAAAGCTTATAAAACCTTGCTTCTTGTCATTAAGCATGCTGGGTAAGAGTGACACTGACCTAAAAACACAAGGGAAAATTGGGCAACAAAAATCTCTGATGTTTAAAATGCATACAGATATAACTGAATTCTACAGGGATATCTGACTACTCCTAACTGTGAAAAGAAATCTTCAGCATTATAAATAATATACTGTATTTACCAGTTTTCAAATCACATACAACATACAGAAAACCAAAGCAATTTACTATTTATTTACTAATTAACATGGACAGAAAATAACTACATTCAAGCCAAAAAGAACATACTCAACCTATATTTAATAAAAATCAATTATTCCATCATACAGCATCACAGTAGTAAGTTTAAAATAAGTTCTTCCACAGAACTTGCATTAGGGAAAATACAACTCATCTTTCGTTATTGATTCCTTCCATTTTTCAGTGAGCCCGTTTCAGCTGTCACAATTGAGGTTCTACTTGACTACACAACAGGTACATGAACCTGACTACATTATATTTGGGAAAATGACCATCACTGATAAATCACAAGTATTATTAGAATTACTAGACACACAAATTGAGACTTACAGTAGTTCCTAACAAAAAAGGATAAAAAATATAAACATAGAATAACTTGCGTTTGCTGAATACTTGTGACTTTTTCCTCTCCTCCAAAATCTGTTACCTTAAACAAGTTGTCCAGAAAGAAAATAAAAGCATAACATGCTAGAACATTGATTATAATTTAATCAGTAGAATTTAAAAGTTAGAATTACCTCTAAAATCAACTGGCATGGCTAAGTTTAAAAGTAGTAAATATTTTCTCCTTCCTCATTTGTTTTCATGTTCTTTGACATTAAGAAATACATAAATTAAGGATCATCTTCTAGTACACTGCCACATGGCAAAAACACATACAGTGGATTCATAGCTTCATGGCTGTACATTTCTTATACTTGTGTTAACATATACCTGCATCATTTTTTTTTAACTGCGCACTTCAGGTATTAAAATACAGAATGTAGCGAACCCAAAATCGCAGCTCACAGTTCAGCCACTTATTACCCACAGATATAAGCACAGTCACTGCTCACTTGACAGAGTTCAAAACATCAAAATCTGAAAGTGATTAGCCCAATGCAAGTTAGGAGCAGGGAAGTTCCTTAGATTCAATATTCTAGTATACATTTACATTGAAATAAATTAGGCTAAACCGACTTAAAAATGCTCAAATATTAAAAAAATACTCTTCAAATTACTATTAAAAACTAAGTTCTGTATAAAAAAGCCATGGTTGATTTACATTGTGATTCTTTCACATGACCTCATATATCTTACTCAATCTTGATTATAGCACAAGTTAGAAATTGCTAACTCAACTATCTTTTTATTTCCACCAGAGATTTTATGCCCTTAACTGCAACAAATCTAACGTAGCCATTTTAACTTGTGAAATAAAAATAATTTGAACAAAGGAACCTATGATGAGCAGTTGATATTGTTGATAAACAATTTACAAGAGCACCATAACATTTACAATAGAAAGACCTTGGTTTCTTAAGCATATTTTGAATAGCAGCAGAAAGTTTACAGAATGCCAAGCATTAGGGGAGAAGAAGGCTCACATACTTTTGTTGCATTTTGTGAGCACAGTTTCCTTATCTCTTTGTGATTTCTTTGTGTTTGTAATATAAGGGGGGGGGAGAGGGGGAAGAGAGAGGTGTTCTTTTGGATCCTATGCACTCATTTATTTTACTCAAAAATAGAGTCAGTACTGCAGCATTTTCTTCTTTTGGTGTAATTCTGAAATATTTTTCCCTTGGGAATGGCAGTTCATTTTGTAATTTAGTTGCATGAGTATATCTAATGTAGTATGGTATCTTTTCATTCTCCAGCATTATGTAGCGACTTACCAGTAGTGCGAGTACAGTAATTCACATTGGTTCTGCAGGATTTTTCATGAGCGTGCTGAGGTAGCCTATTCACATCATCAGAATCTAGAGCTTCTGTAGTGTCAGCTTTTTCATCACCTGACATATAATTTAATGGCACACTTCCAGGATGTTCAGCTGGTTTGAAGTTTTTCTTTACTGAAACGTCATTTGCTGGAATAGGCTTTTTCTTACTTTTCTTGGAAGTAGTATGTGGCTTACAGAAACTCACATCAAGTGAGTCCATGCTTGTAAAAGAGTTTTTGCAACAAACTTCAGGAGGATTCTGTGATTCCTTTGGTACCCGTACCTGTACTTCATTTTCTTTCAAATTGGATGATGAAAAGAAGTCTTCATAAGCAGCCTCTTCAGCACAAGAAGACTTGCTATACGTAGTAACTGCTTGCAAGAACTCTTTAGACCCTGATGCACCCAGTTCTGAGGCAGCCAAACTAGTTATTGTTTGTAGTTTCTTCCTCTTCTTGTCTTCAAGAACACAATTATTTCTGTCAACAGGGAAACTTCTATCCAACAAACATGCATTTAAGTCTTCGCTGTTCATAAGTGAATTAGAGATACTGCTAACCAAAGCAGGGACAGTACTTAACTTGACTGTTTTTTTGGAAGGAGTAATATGACCCAAGCCCTTGATTTGGAGAAGATAACTTCTGTTTGCAACTGAAGTAGTAATGCTATTTTCATCCTTCTGATTTTTCTTTGGAAACTTTTTTAGTTCTTTCTTTTCTAAAGACAATTCATCACCCAAAATATCCTGCAAAATCTGTTTCTTTCTCAAGCTTCTTCTGTTATGTTGTTTTGGTGTTAAGCTCTTCTGCTCATAGCTATGTGAGGGAGAATTCACTGATGCACTCATGGATACATGAGTATCAGTCCAAGTATCACAGGCGTGTTTTACTATCTCTATTTTCCGTCTCTTTAACTTATCAGTTCCCCAAAGATAATCACTGGTCGAGTTCAAGCAGTCTTCTGTTTGTTCTCCTGCAAAATAAGAAAAGTGGCAATATAAACATAAATTTATAAATACAAATTATTATTTAAATATAAATATAAATTAACAGAAAGAGTACTACATTTCTTAATAAAATACATATAAAATTACTGAAAAAAGAAAACAAGGATTTAGCCACTTTTCTGGATATTATATGGGAAGTCATCAAAAACTAAACATAAAACGGGTAAGAAACAAAGCACGTCCTATGTTGACAAGAAGGTACAACTTTAGCTGTCATATCTTCTTACATGGTAGTAAGTATCCATAAGCACTGTTCTGCTTTCTTGAAACAAAGCAGCAGAGGAACTCCCTTTCACTCTTGCATTTGTGGAGAAAGTCAGTATGATTTTACACTGATAAAGCTAGCTATAACAATACTGGAAACTCAATAATCATTTTTACTACCACAGCATTACCACCACCTTGTAGTTTTTACAGTTAGGATTAAATTAAATACAACATCATAGTTTCATACCACATACATCAACACAATGTATTAAAAATAATTAGAATGTGGAAAACTGCATCATTTCTTGTAGCTATTCTCATAAAATTATTTTGGGGGATGTGATACACAGAATCTATTCATAACTCTTCGCAATAAATTCCTCTGAAACAGGCTAGTATCTTTGACTATTCAGAATACATTTTTTAAAATCCAGTTGTTCTACAATCTCATTATTGCAATAGATGCTTTTGTTTAAACATATTTTGACTGCAAAGTTTCAGCAATACTCCTTCTGTAAGTGCTCCTGTAGGTTTTCGGGGAAGTCTTGATGTTGTTTGTTTACTAAATAAGTAACATTTTAACATATGGTGTAGCTAGCTAAATTCAGAAAAGTTAAATATATGGGGATGAAAAGAGAAGCTTCACATGACATGACCAGACGCCCATATTGACAATTGAAAAAGTCTTAATTTCAATCCTCAAATTAAACTAGATTCTTGAACTTTCTTAACCATTATTAACCAACCTACTCTCCTGTATCTCACAAGCACAAACAAAAGGGTCACCGTCACACAGCGTCAGAGTGGAAGCTACACAATGTTGCCACAGGATGTGGAGGTCTATTCTTCACGTAAAATTACATTGTGCCGTTGTAATGTTGGAGGGACATACTCAAGGTAAAGCTCTCAAATCATCATGTTCAACATCATCAGCACACAACTAACATACCAAAAAAAAAAAAGTTTGTTGGCACAGCCACGCTACTTCCAGTATTAAGCTATTACTTCCCCCTAACATTGCATGAAGAGATACCAAGCTGTCTGAGGCTACAAGATCCCACCCTTGTTCTCATGTACACCAGCATGACAGAATCCCTGTGTGATGTCAACAAAATACAACACTTGAAAACTGCATGAGGTATGGCTTACTGTCGTGGTAGAACGGAGAGTAGGCAGACCACTCAAGTGGCCCTCCTTATGAATTCTAAAGACTGTCTTCTGCTTACTTTTCTACTGAGATCAAACACCAGCATCTGACTTCAGCTTTTTGCTCACGTGACTGACAGAAGACATGAAGTCTGAAGTGCATACCCATTCCACACATGATTTATGCTGTTAAGATGCCCAGTGATGTAGCTCAACAGCACAATAATCTCCCTTACGTCCTGCAAAAAAAGTCAAAACACAGGAACAGACCCCTAACTTTATGAGAATAAAAATCTTGATAACAAATGACTTGAATTCATCTGCAACCATAAAACATTTTAAAAGCTGATTTGTTTTTGCTCTTGATACTTCTTCAATCCCTGAATACTTAAGCTGGTGAACATGTTAGGTTTCCTTTTAAATTCGAGTTATTTGACTGAAAATTTGGAAGACATTTATTTCAGTTCTCCGAGGTTTCTCTCTCATTCAGTTATCTTTTTTCTTCCCACACCACACTATTTAGTGTGCACTCTGTATTCTACACAAGATCACTGTAAGAGCAGAGAAGACTGACACCATGCCAGGAGAAGCAGCCATTAATGGGGAATGGTGCGAGAAAAGAGGAGGAATCGAGGCAAGCAACACAGCAGCAAGACAGAGCATTTAACCCATGTGATTCCTCATGCTCCATTTTCCTTGAATTCTTAATTCTACATACTTTGCCAGTTAAGAAAAAATAATTCAGTTTTAAATATAAATGATAGAGCAAGTAGTTCCCATTTCAGTATACCATACTTTCCAAAATAAGATATACAGGCCATGTATTATTTTTAATTTCTGTAGTATGTAAAGTTGTGTTAGTTACCTGGTAACAATATATCTTCTGAATCAGTTAAGACACGAGTAGAGAGCGGGCAGTCTCCTGGTGAACTGCTTAGAGGTATTTGAGACATCTGCGAAGCTAGGAATTTGTAAATAATAAACTAGTTAGCCCTATTTGCAAACATACAGATTTCTACACCATCTATTCTTATTTTCAAAACAGCTCAATCATAAGAGACAAGTCACTGCTTTGCCAACGAACTAGAATCATATAAATAATTGTAGACTGCTCAACAGTATCTCAAATTTACATACTAACTAAAAAGCTATTACATATTCTATAATTTTCTGCAATTTTTTTTTATAACTCAGCACCACATTTTTCTGAAACTAAAGAGTGATGGTAAACCATTTAGAAAATATTATAGACATGTCTAAGACAGTTGAGACATTTTACTAAAGAATTTGTCAAATTCTGCAATAGGCTGCAAAGCCTTGATATAGTAGAAACGTGTTTCAAAACATGTGAAGGCATTACCTTACAACTCAAAAAGAAAACAAATACAAGCCATGCTGCAATAAATGAGATTTAATTTTTCATCCATGTATCACTGGTTCTTGTATCATTGTCTTCCATGACTTCTTGTGCCCTTTGATAGAAAGAAACTAAAAGCTAAAGCATTCATACCTACTCGAAACCTGGGAAGAAGGGAGGACATGCAATCGAGTAGGATATGAAAAAAATTCTAAAGGCCAGAGCAAGACAAGTGCACCAAAAATTCAGCAATAAAGATAGTAGCCATTTGTGCATGTTCATGGATAAGCAAAATTTAACTTCTTACCAGCAGGAGACAGATTTTCTCGTTTTTCCTTCATCTCCTTCACTCTTCTTTCCATCGCATTGCATTGATCTTTTATCTTATTAACAGGGCTGTACACAAGTGAACCATTGTCTTCAAACAGTAGAACTGGTACATCGGCTTCTACACAAAGAAATAGCATGTAAATATTAATGTACAAATGCAATAGGACCTTCACGTGAAGATTCTTTTTTTCCCATAAAACTTGAAAAAATTAAGTTCCTTATACCTACCATCACTACAGATACCTTAAAACCACAAACTTGCAAAGAACTCTAAAAAGCAAGTCCACTTTATTTCTCATGGTGAGATGTATAAAAGTAAAAAAACCAAAACCCGAACCCCATCAACTGCTTTAAAGAAATAACTTCAGATATTTGAATATTAGTCCAAAGTAGTTCTTACCAGCATTAATTGCTATCTTTTGCACAGCTAATTCTTTAGCCATCTGGTCCAGTCTTTTCTGCAGCTTCCTATCATTTTCTGGACTTCTTTCAACAAAGTCTTTTGGCTGCATACATTTGTGCTACAAGACACACAAAACTATTAATTACATGGTACAAAACTGCCAGAATTAACTACACGTTCTATTTGCCTACCACTTTATCAGAGCATTTATTATCAGTGTTTAACTCTATGCTACTTATTATCACCTCCTTCAGAGACACAGATTGTTGTAAACATTAACATTTTCCAAAGTGAACTTCAATGTGAAAGAAGAACGAACTTAACACATTTTTTTAGATTAGATTTCAGTAAAAAGGAGACTAATTCACCATCTTTATTGCTTGTAGCAAAGCTAAGGCTTGAAAGATTTTGGTTGTTTTAACTACTAGGATTTTAGGGTTTATCACAACACAGTGAAACATAAGCCACATTATACTCATGCTTTTTTATCAGTTAATTGTTATGTCATTTTAATTTAAATCTTCATTTCTTTATTTACCAACATAAAAACTCTACTTTTATTATCCTTTCTTCACATAAGATGTTCCATCATCACAGCCATAGCTTACCTTTAAAAACCTACTCATAGAATGGTAGGGATTGGAAGGGACCTCGGTGGGTCATCTAGTCCAAGATGGATATGTATCATATGGATAGGTAGAGATGACAGAATGTTCTGAAGATAAACAGTTCAAATGCCTGAGGTCAGGAAGTCAAGTTCCAACTTCAAAACTTACTACTATGGGCCTATTTAAAAAAACACATACTCACTTTTTTGGTCAATAGTGGTAATCCTTCATTAGTGTCTACTGCAGGAAATAAGGATTCATCAACATGTAGTCCAGTTTCTCGACACCTGTATAACAAATTAGAACAGGTTTGGGTGGTCTTTTTGGATTTTTTTTTTTTTTTAAGAATGATAAGAATGATAACCTTTATTGCACAAAGACTTGTCTGAGTCCTGTAATAATGAAATAAATGAAATACCGACCCTTCCTAAGTGTGTATCTTTACCATAACTACTGTAATGATAAAAAAAGGATAAATCTATCTGATACACATCAAATATAGGACATGATACAATTTTTTTTGTCCTAATGATGCTCTGTAAATTCCTGTTCTGAAACTCAAGGACTCCCACTCATACATTATTTTCCATGCATTCAAAAATCACTGTAATAAGTCCTTCTGGCCAGATTCTCATGAATCTCAAATCTTGCCCTGACTTTTCTGAGGACTGTAAGCTTTCATTATTCAGTAGCTAGTGAATTTAACCTTAACCAAATACAACCTACAGAAGGGGGGTGGGCGGGACATGACGAGGACATGCAACAGTAAATTTTTCTATTCAGGCAAATGAGAAAGGAGGCTTCATCTGATCCTGGCTTCTACATCTTACCCATCAGTCAGTTTTCTGCCTTGTTTTTGTATATGGCAACGATGAAAACAGCACCTTATTGAGAAGCAACCTGTATTTACGCAAACTTTTTTTTCATTACAAGACCAAATATCCAACTGATACCATACCCCTTTTTTTTCCTGTCTTTTCATATTCAAAGACTGACTTGAGAACAGTAGGTCTAAAGTTATCTTGGAATACCTATGGTATTTGTCAACACTAAAGATGACATTGAGACAAGAATTTACCTATTAATACACAAATCAAAGTTCTTTTAATCAAAATAGGTAAATACAGTTTTATTCTCAAACAATAAATAATACAAACGATTATGGGAAAGAGCATGTAACCTTAATAGACTACCCTAGAATTCCCTGAGAAGTCATTCAAAACTGTGATTCTAGTGACACCTAGTGATCTTACTGCTATCAAGTTTGTACCTGTAGAATTATAATCTAATGCTTACTTAGTTATTAATAAAGAAGAGCCAAACAGCTACATGTATTTGTCAAACTAACTGAGTTTAGAGTTCTCCGGAGCATTAAATAGAGATGATACTCAACATGCTGGACTTCAGTGGCTATTATTATATTCTGGATAATAATCAGCACGTATGTAGACTACCTTAAAAATTACATTAATTCAGGGATTTCATTGATTCAGAGAAGTTAAATAGAAGAAAAATTGACCATTAAATATCTTATAAGAATTTTTACTTTGCAGACATATCTGAATGTAAATGATTTATCTATCTTACTTGTGGTGAGTGAGCTACTGTACTAAGAATACGGAGGTAGAGTTTCCCAGTTATTGGTTTGATTTGGAAGTATTAAGTGCTGTTAATTTGGACACACTTTGTAGCAATTTATCTTATGTAGGGTTCTTTTTGTTGTTGGGTTTTGATTTTTATTTTTAAGTTGCTCATTGAGATATTTGAGATGAAGAAGCACTAAAAATTTTTTTTCAGTGATCCCAAAGTTGTCACACATTTTGCATTAAACTTACAATTTATTTGCATGAATCTTATAGCAAGTCCATGATTTTGTGAGCTATTTTTAAAGTTAGACATATCTATCGTTCTTCGAAAACAAAGGCAACAAACCACTTTTTAAAATTTTTAATTAAAAATACATTTATTCTGGAGTAAAGAATTTTTTTGGAATTTCAATTGTCATCTTATTTTAAAGAGTCTTTTTCCCAAACAACTTCCTTTTAAACTGTAAAACTGCATTCTGTTTAGATTCAAATAGATGCTTATGCTATAAAGCAGAAGCTTCCAATACAAAGTCTGAGGCAGACCACTGGAAATTCAGTAAGAGTTCAACAAGGCAAAGTTCACTAAATACTGCACAAACCCTTGCTCTCTAAAAATTTGTGCTGGTTTTTATGGAGAAAAGCAGGCATTACAATATTTTTCAAATCACAGAGCATGTTCTTCTGACATGCTCAAGCATTGCTTGGGGGAAGGTAACAGAGTGTACATGCGTAACAGTTTGGAAGTAGGGGTCCACTAGCTGTTAAGAGGGAGAGTATTTCGCACAAAGCAGAAGAATCAGGAAATGCTGGAGTAATTGTTTATGATTTTCTTCCTTGTCTGGTGTTTTCAGAGCTCAAACATCAAAAAGCAGCATCCAGATTAAATACTACTTACTGCAGCATCCTGTTTCCAATACCAAGTTTTTACGTACTTTTAAAATCCTGAAAACACAGCCAAACGTTCCCAGTTTACCTTGCTATGTTCCACAGCTTTCTGGTTTAAAGACTGTCAGATGCAATATTGTATTTGGTTTTTGATAAAACTAAATGTTTAATTGCTTCAGCATTTTTTTTAACCCCATGTAAATTTTTTGTGACTATGATTCTGCAACAAAGATTTCTACAGCCTAACTCTGTTTTGCTAAAAACCATCATTTACTATTTTCTCCAAATCTGCCTCCACGCAGATTCATGTGATAGTTGCCAGTTCTTCTGCTGGAAAGGAAAACATACATTCCCTATTCAGCCTCTCCATGTGAACCTTGGTATTCACAGTGTCTCTTCCCCCCCCGCCCCCCTTCTTTTCCAGCCTGAAGAATTCCTGTCTCTTCAATAGTATCATGTGGGAAAACTATTTTACAACTTCAGTCACTCTCGTTGCTATCGCCTCGCAACATTCCACGATTAAATGCTGTCATCCCACTACATGAGGTTTTATGTTCTATTTGACTTTTGACTACTGCTGAGGTAGTAATGCCATGAAAACATTTACTGTAAGTCCCAAAATCTTAATCTTCCCCTCACACAGTGTGATGACCATCTTCCTTCTGATATACTTAAGATATACAATATACTTATGCTTTAAATGGTCTCCTTGACACCAGCAAGAATTTTATTCCCTTCACTGTCTTAGTTTCTTCTTAACAGAACTTCTTCCATTTTAAGTAAACTCCTTTCTGAAGTTGAGCACTGTCAGAACTACTTGGGTTTTGCTCTTCCAGTATGAACACTGATTTTATACTGCAGCCATACTTACAAGAAGGTTCTTTGAAATAATTTGAACAACCATCCACAAACCAATTAAGACCAAGCAATACCTAAAATATTTGTCTTCACACTGCACGCCAACAGGAGTCACCCAAGCCCCAGTCTACACTAAGAAGTTACCCTTTACTATTACATTTTCCTGAAATGACATTTCACAGCATTTCTGACCATTCTGACAATGTTCCACTAGCTACTGAACGGAGTAGCTGGTTAATCAAGCCGTCTTTTTTTAGTAATGCTAAAAATTCAGCTCACATGAACTCTGCATTAATTGCTTACACAGTTAACAGTTTTTTAACAGTTTCAAACTAAGTTTCCATTCATACAGGACCACTATTTTACTGGCACAGACTATTCAGTCCTTCTCGTTTACGTTGTTCCACAGTTCAATACTGTCTTCTGCCTATGAAATTTCTGAGATTTTGATATACTAGGCATATAATTTAAAGTCAGGCACTTCAGTTCCCTCATCTTAATACAAAAAATATTAGCATGTGTGTTAGCACAGATTCATTTTAATTTTGTATTGTCTGTGCCTCATCTAAGTAACACTATGACTAGTGAGATTATTCATCACTATCTCTTGTGCAAGCTTCTACTGCTCCTGACCTATACTTTGCTCAAGGATATGATGATATTCCTATGAATTCTGCCTACAGTACACATCAATCTAAGTTGTACATTCTTATGCATCTTTTGGCATTAACTTTAAACCAAAAGGCAGAAGAAGATTACAGAGCAGTCCAATCATAATTCATAGCTTGGGTGTCATGTGTCCATGTCCCATCATGTCGTGTGTGGTTCCCCCCTCCCCTGCAATAAAATACATTTCTCTACTTCAGATGATTTCCCCAGTTCATAGAATCATAGGTTGGAAAAGACCTCCAAGATCATCAAGTCCAACCATCCACCCAAAAACACCATGCCTACTAAACAGTATCACGAAGTGCCACATCTACACATTTTTTGAACACCTCCAGGGATGGTCACTCAACCACCTCCCTGGGCAGCCTATTCCAATGCCTGACCACTCTTTCAGCACAGAAAATTTTCCTAATATCTAATCTAAACCTCCCCCAATGCAACCTGAGGCCATTGCCTCTCGTCCTATCGCTAGTTAGTTGGAAGAAGTTCCAGCAAACCTTATCTTCTAAGCCATACAGCAAGACCTTGTCTTGTCCAGACCATGATACTACGAACACTTCAAAAAATACCAAGAAGATGATAGCCTTCTCTTTCCTACCAAACAGCTTAGGTTCTCCCTCCAGATCCTTTCTCCTGTCTTTTCCTCTGTTGCTGGTATTCAGCAACAGTTACAAGTTTCTTGAGGCTTTTACACCTGGATCTCAAAGCTCCATGCTGTCCCCTGCAGTACCACATATCCAGCTGTCTTTATGTCTGAGCTTCCTACAGTGTTCATCCACTCAATACCTTCAAGATTCTTCAGGTGGAACTGCTATTACAGAGACAGCATTTCTGTCTTAGATCTTAGACTCTCCCCTGTAAGGCTCTCTCATTCTTCTTCCGTTGCAGATGCTATTCACCAGGACTTTTCTGGGATTCCTTTTACTGTAGCACATCCAAGTCCTCAAATAGTTTATAGTTCCTGGGACTTAGGTTTCAAATTCCGTATTTATACACTTAGCCATCTGAAGAGTGTATTTAATTTTATAACCAAAGATTCCTACTGAAATGGCCGTTATTCTCATGTACTCAGATAGTGCTAGGTCACAGAAAGATATATCCACATAAATAAAATTTTGCATCACTTATTTTTGAGAGCTTAAGGTATTTCTTCCTTGGTGTTAAAGCTGTCTGGTGTGTGTAGCTGTAACTTCTATATCTGATATTCTTGAAAGAAAAAAAAAATCTGCTTCTGCAAAACTGCATGGACTTCTTTTTTGGCTAAGACTTCTATCACTCGTTTTTTGGTTGTACTGACCTACATTTAAGTGGCTGCAGAGCTCAGTTTTGCCCCTCCATCCTTTTTCACTTTTGCACTTAGCAGACTTCTATCTCTCCATGCATATTAAAATTGGTATACGAAAGAACCTCTTTACTTGACTTATATTCTAATTTCCATCATCACCGCAATTTATTGATTGGAATGTTTCAGTATAACATACGCATATTCCTAAAAACTGTGTGTTTTTTTTTACATTTCATCTGAAATCAAAGTTAGGCCTTGCAACCACTTTGTAAACTCAGAGAAGCAGCTATGGACTAGTAAATTCTCATGGACTGGCTGCACAGCTGAAATTTCATTTTGGGGTTTTTTTGGTTTTGTTATTTTTTTTTTTTTTAAATTTAACTTTTTCCATATGGTAGTTAAGAATCGTCAAGCAGTGCTGTTCCGAACCTGCCAAATGTCTTAAAAGCCAGATACATATGGATCTTTTTCTTTCTTGCTAGGAGACATTCTGTCTACAGGAGTTAAGCAGAGAAATGGTATAATGTCCCTGATGAAATGTGCTTTTTCGCATGAAAATGGAAGAATTCCAATCAACACAAATATCTGGTCTTCACAGCCTATGCATGCCATCTGAGAGCAAAGGAGTGGAACACTGAATAGTTAACAAATCTACTGCGGAACCACTTCAACACATTCATTTTTGAAGAGTTAACATCTTACCTATTTATGCAAGTAACATGTTTAATAATAGGAATAATGTCACAGGAAAGTTCTTATTTACTCACAGAATTATCACGATTTCAAGTACATTAAAAAACAGGTACAGTACTGTACTTAAGTTTTTAAATAAAAAATACTAGAATCCATTATCTCTGGAATGGGTCACATTCATTATATTCATGAGTACTCACTTCTCCACCCAGAGTACAGAAACTATTTTTACACCCATCTTCTGTGCTTTTCTCCATGTAGTCAAACGTCCGTCTTTGAAGACTACATGCGTCACATGCTTGTTCAAAGTTTTTGAAACCTGCAGAAACACAGAGAGCTCATCTTTAAGTCTGATAATCAGAAAACGCTAACGAAACTAGCTGGCGTAGTCTGTTTGTAATGTATAAACTATTAGCATAAAAACTTCTTCTAAACGTTATGTCACGGATTCTTTTGATCTTTCTCATCTTTGCAAGACGCCTCAAAAATCCAAACTCAAGTCAAGCCAATGCAACACATGCTAGAGGCCTAGAGTAGCCTTTTGTTTTCAAACTCCTTTTCTTTAGGTTATCATTTTCATCTCCCTACTCTAGCTACATCACTAATCTTACAAAGTTTTTATTTATGTAACCCAACATCAATGTCTTATGTAACAGCCAGTAGAGAAAGTAGTTGCCACTATCCAAAGAAATGCCAAATTACTTTTTTTTTATTTAGAAAAGAACTCAAAGGCTTAAAGAGTACAGCTAACCTCATCCTGTAAACTAATTCTCACCAATAAAGAGCACTTTTAGTTTTGAGGGAAGGCTGAAGCTACTACAAACAAAACACCTTATAAGGGAACACTTTAAAAAGTGAGAAATACAGAAAACTTTGGTCAGTACAGCTAATACCACACCTGACATTTGAATTGTGTTGTACAACTGATCAAATCTTCAGTTATCAGCCTCTATTGACAACAAAGTGATAATCTTTCTAGTTCTAAATACTCCATTCCTCACAATCAAAGCTTCCTTTTGTGGAGACTAAACGTCCTACACATAAAACTGTTCGATCAGTTGTGATTGTTGACATGGTGAGATGAGTACAATTTGTATGTCACAGCAGCATCTTCTCAGCACAGCCAAAAGGAAATGGCTGTGTAGCTTTCTGTTGCACTCTCAATTGCATCACTATACTTGCTCCCAGCATGTTGGATCTATATTTGGCTTTAAGAAAACTACGCAGCTTTTTCAAGAATTGCTAGTGGCAAGTTGATTTATTGCCTCTCAGAAGACAAAAACCCCATGATATTTAAGTATCTAGGTATACATGACCAATGAATCTCTTCTAGAACAAGTGGTAACTCCAGATACAACTGCTTACTCACTTGTGCTAATATCTGGCTCACAGCGCATGTCCTAAGGGGGCAGATGCTTGATATAGCTTTGCCTCCAAATTATGTAGGAGCATCACCTTACACCTCCCTCACTCTGGACGTCGTGGTTCACCTGACCTTAGCTTGAGATGTCTGAATCAACAATATACTGAAAAATTAATTCAGAATTTTCTTTGCTGACAGAGTGAGGCAAGTCAGTTTACTATCATGTGCTCAGCCCAATAAAAAGGAAGGAAGTGTCTGGAACAGTGAAGGGGCAGGACCATCCCTTTTCAGTCATAGGATTCTGTTAAATAGGCTCATCAGTATCAACCGCCTATACCTTTCACCATATCCAGCTACTTTTTGATCAGCTTGAGGAATTCTGAAGCCTTATCCTTTGTCATATTTTCTGTGAGAAAAATCTAACAATCAGAATTCCATAGATCTGATAGTACAGCACAAAAGAACGAGAAATATTTCTTACTCAAATTACTGAGAGTTGTATTTGCTTTCATAATAAAAGCAGTTATTCTACTGTTCTGTTACGCTATCTCAGCTAAATTCATACAGAAAGAGAGGCTTTGGGGAGATCCGCAAAACCTCCTAAATTACAGTAAGATACACCTACACAGGCCCAATTAAAATGCACGGGGAGTTCACGCAAGTATTTAGAGCATGATGTGGGTTGTAAAAATCTCTCTTAACTGGTGATAACGTGCAGGAAGGGGAGACGCCAGTTTGACTTTGGTCTTTGATCGAAATTTTACAGCTGGCAATTAAACATATTTTGCACCTACAAGTCAACCATACTTGATATGGAAAAAAACCACCAAGACATATACAAAGACCCTTAGATGTGTTTTTACTAGCACTTCCTGGAGTTGAACTACATTTATAGGAGAGTGAATGGAAGAATAAAATGTCACGGGACATGGGTTAGAAATTATTGTAGTAACAAAGAAGCTGCCTACAAGTTATAGAAAACAAAGCAACATAAGGTACATACTTGTAAACCACAGGTTTTCAATGCTTAGATTTGGTTTGCCCACAGTATGTGGCAAGCCTAATATTCACAACAAATGCATGCTATCACATTAATGTGATTAAAAAAAAGGTTTAAAAAGAGGTTTATAGATACAGGGAGGCTTTAAATACATTTCCCATCTGTCACTAATAAGAATTTTACAGCATGCTCATCTATTCTCAGGCCTGTGATTATCTTCCTTCCTGCCCTTTAAAAACTCATGCTACGAAGAAATATACATGACAAGCAGAACAAGCAAGCTAGTTTGTCATTAAGAGCTTTCCTATTCTATATATTTCAAAATAGTTTCCTTACCTTTGCTCCCATATGAAGAAGTTGCTGTTCAAAGGTTTTTGAGTAATTTTCTGTTCTATTAAATGACCAAACTTCTACAAAGGCGGATATACCTGGATCAGCAGAGAGAAAACAACAAACAGCTAATGAAGTATATACTATGGTAAAACTGGTTAAACTGCCTTTCCAACAAAATTTTGCCTTTATACGATTGCATTCTGTAGCAAGTAGAGCTTTTGATAATTTGAGAATCAGATATTAGCAGCAGAATGTTCTTTTTAGAGTATTTCTGTCCCTTCAATTAGTTGTAATGGAACTAACTTGGAAGTTTGACACTAGTTACACAACTTTTCCCTTGGTCTACTTAAAACACACTACCAGTTTAACAAGCAACACAGTATCTTTACATGACTGCTTACCCTTACCATTAATCACTTCTAGTCTCCAGGTTAATAAAAAATATTAAGACAAGTTGATGTAACAGAAGTTACAGAACATAATGAAATAAATGTACAGAATTACTCCTTCCCCAAACCCCCCAAAAATTGCAAAAACATTACTTAGTTTCCATTTGACTTAAAATTCCACCTTACTTATACTGAATCACCCCAAATTAAGTACATATCACAGGGGCTAATAAAATTTCACGTCAGCTGCTTTACCTAACTTTAGGTATATCACATTTAAGTATCACAGAATCACAGAATCACAGAATAGTAGGGGTTGGAAGGGACCTCTGTGGGTCATCTAGTCCAACCCTCCTGTCGAAGCAGGGTCACCTACAGCAAGCTGCACAGGACCTTGTCCAGGCGGATCTTGAATAGGAGCAGAGAAGGAGACTCCACACCCTCCCTGGGCAGCCTGTTCCAGTGCTCCGTCACCCTCAGAGGGAAGAAGTTCTTCCTCATGTTCAGACGGAACTTCCTGTGCCTCAGTTTGTGCCCATTGCCCCTTGTCCTGTCAATGGGCACCACTGAAAAGAGCTTGGCCCCATCCTCCTGACACCCACCCTTCAGATATTTGTAGGCATTTATAAGGTCCCCTCGCAGCCTTCTCTTCTTCAGGCTGAACAAGCCCAGTTCCCTCAACCTCTCCTCGTAGGGGAGATGCTCCAGTCCCCTCACCATCCTTGTAGCCCTCCGCTGGACTCTCTCCAGTAGCTCTTCATCTTTCTTGAACTGGGGAGTCCAGAACTGGACAGAGTACTCCAGATGGGGCCTCACTAGGGCAGTGTAGAGGGGAAGGAGAACCTCCCTCGTCCTGCTGGCCACACTCTTCTTGATGCACCCCAGGATTCCATTGGCTTTCTTGGCAGCCAGGGCACACTGCTGGCTCATGGTCAACCTGTCGTCCACCAGGACGCCCAGGTCCCTCTGCACAGAGCTGCTCTCCAGCAGGTCCACCCCAAGCCTGTACTGGTGCATGAGGTTGTTCCTCCCCAGGTGCAGGACCCTGCATTTGGCTTTGTTGAACCTCATCAGGTTCCTCTGTGCCCAGCTTTCCAGCCTATCCAGGTCACGCTGAATGGCAGCACAGCCTTCTGGTGTATCTACCACATCTCCCAGTTTGGTGTCATCAGCAAACTTGCTGAGGGCACATTCTAACTCTTCCTTTATCAACCTGGCTAGCAAACACTTCAAGGAATTAAGTCAGCCTTGGTTGAAGTCTTTAAACAAACCAACCAACCCAGATATATTGACATGGAGGGATAATCAAACAAAACTCGTAACAATCCCTTCAGTAACTTTCCTGAGGATGGGCACTAAAGCGACCTACAGCTCCACTGGCCATGCCAATTTCCCACTTTGAATGATGAAACAGGAAAGTTCCAGAGAAGTGTAGGAATGACAGTTCACCAAAAACAACTTTACACAAACTTCAGGCCAGACAACTCAGAACTCATGAATAAAACTGAAAGTGTCAATTTAAAAAGGTCATCCTTGGGAAACACTGCTTAAGTATCTTAGTTACTACATGGGTCCTTCTGATTTATCATTACATAGTGTCATCTGTCCTCTTTCAAAATGAAAACTACAATACCACTCCAACAGTAGAAGTACTTTTATAAAGATCAATGCATTTCCTCCCCCTCTACTCTGCCCTAGTGAGGCCCCATCTGGAGTACTCTGTCCAGTTCTGGGCTCCCCACTTCAAGAAGGATGAGGAGCTACTGGAGAGAGTCCAGAGGAGGGCTACAAGGATGGTGAGGGGACT